TTTATTCTGCACTTCTGCCATAGAGGAGTTACTGTAACAGTCCGAGTCTTGGTACCTCAGACCTGTCCTTACACTAATAATTTTTAAATTTTGAAGCTCTATCAATGGAGCGATCAAGCCTAGAAACTCAAATGCAAACAAAAAAACAAGATTTATTTCTTTAAGGATTGGCGAAAAATATAAACAAACGAAGAGAAAGGTGGGTGAGTCTACAACGAGAAGGAAATCAAGTATAAACAAAGCCTCAAGCATTGGATCTTGTCTCTTTTTTTTTTTGTTTTCTTTTCTCAGTTGTATCTGGATTTCTAGTCTTCCATGCTGAAGTTTGAAATTTTAATCAAGTTTCCAAGCCCAAATGCCTCGATATTTTTGTAAGTTTTCATAGAAAAACCATTGGCTAAGAATAATTAAATATAGAGATATCTCAAAATAGATTTTGATGAATTTGGGGTGAGCTTGAATACAACTTCCATGCTGGTTCCGGAAGGGGTAGATAGGCTCATTAGGAGAGGAGAGAAAAGTGAGAAGTCCGAGATAGGGGGAGAGGATGAAGAAGAGCTGTGAGTGGGTCATTAAGTTATCAAGTAAGATTTTATTAATTTAGAATTTGTAATTAATTTTATACAAAATTTTATTTTAAATTTAAAATTTTTTATGAATTTAGGGTATATATATTATATTTTATTTTAATTTTATATTTTTTAATTAAAATTGATATAAAATTTTATATAAAATTAATTAAAAAAATTATATTTAATAAAGTTTAAGATACATGTTAAAAAATTTTTAACAAGTATAATCGGTCTTTAGTAAGTTGTTAAAACCATTACTACGTGGCAAACTATGGTGGCGAGTTACAAAAAGAGAGTGCTAAAGCGATTGCGCCTAGCACTACTCATAAAAAATTACGATTTCCATTTTTTTTAATTTAAAAAAATAAAACCTTTTTACCCAGTCCATGATAACTTAATTGCCGCTTAAATGCATGAGCTAAGATAGCATGTCCTGACTTATAAAACCAGGAGTTACTTCCTCTTCCCAAACCAATTCCCCAGTGTTCAAAAAAAAAAAAATAAAACTTCCTTTCTCCACCTGTTTCTTGCTACCCTTTTGCCTGTTGATGGAGCTGCAGACGCGGCAGGGCCTCCCTGAGAGGAAGGGACAAAACTGGAAGAAGAAATTAAATAGGAGCCGAAGATTTCCCTTCCGCCGTCCGATGACAACTGCCATGCTCTCCTTTGCGAGGTAACTGTTTAGGTTAAAGTCCTCAATTCCACCTTCTCTTGGCGTGAAGCCGATCGCGTTGCTGCTAAGCGCGCTACTCACGTCCTTGCCGAACTCGCCAAGAACGGTACCGAACTACTTCAGATCTCATGTTATTTGCGCTGACGTCGTCGATTTCTTTTACTAAACATATCTCTTGAAGGTGATCTCTAGTACTTGAATTTAAGGCTTTTGAGTGTAATTCTTGTGATTCTTTGGCACAGAAAGTTGTGAACGTCATCGTTGAAGGCGGTGTTGTTCCGGTTCTGGTGAACCATATGCAGGCACCATCGTCCAGTCAAGGCGATCCGGGCCCAAAGCCCTCGAGCATGAGGTGGAGAAAGGAAGCGTTTTCGCTTTTGGACTTCTTGCCATAACGGTAATTAAGGGTGACAAAAAAATAATAATAATAAAAATGACCTAACCAGTGTGACTGTTTGCGTTTAACCGTCAATAAACAGTATCATTAGCTTACATTGAATGGAGGAACGACATTAACATATTTTTGGATAGTAGAAGGACGACAAGTGAAGTTAATTAATAGTAAAGGGACGATATGAAGTCAATCAATAATAAAAGATTTAAATTGCATTATTTTTTATAATAAAGGGACTATAGATGACATTAATCCCACAACTTTTGAAAAAAAAAAACAAAAGGAAAAGAAGTACCTAATTAAGTAAAATTCATAAACAATGTTGGGGTTTCTAGAGAAGAGAGGACTTATAGGATAAAGAGGGACACCTGGAACTCCCTCATTGGGTGAGATGAGAACTCAATTTTCTTCGTTCATCGTCTGCCATTAAATACCATAAACCTCATAGTATATAAAAAGTAATTTCAACCCAACACACTACCTTCCACCCAATCCAATAATTTCTACCTAACACGTTAACTTTGAAGGAGAAATTTGTGCCGCTCCAAGCCGCTAATTCAGCTCTCATTTTAGCTGTTGCTACGGTTGTCTTGCGGCTTTTACACCACAGCTCCAACAGACAAACAGATCAGAGTTGCAAAACAAAATAGCCGGGGACGGAAGGTAACGTGATTCTCTAGCAAAATGGCGGATGCACTTGTTTCTGCAGTCTTAGAGAAGCTAACAACAATCATCTTGGAGGAAGCAAGGCAAAAGGCGAGACTAATAGAGGGTGCACAGGAGGAAATTGACAAGATTAGAAGCAATCTCGAGTCTGTCCATGCTCTCCTTGATGATGCAGAGGAAAGGGAGACAAGGGACAAAAGTATCAAACTTTGGTTACATCGGCTTAAAGAAGCATCTATTGACATGGAGGACGTGTTGGATGAGTGGAATACTGCACTTTTGAAGTGGAAAATGAATAAAGCTCAAAATTCTGTGTCTGTCCTCCAGAAAAAGGTGTGTCATTTTATCTCTTGTTTTTGCTCTCGACCAGTTGTTAAGCTCCATGGTGTTGCTGTTCAAATAAAAAAAATCAATGGAAGATTAGATGAGATTGCTAAACAGAAAGATAGGTATAGTTTTGTGTCAAGGGAAATTAGACAGCCTCAAATTCAACCAGAAAGAGAAACCACGTCTTTCACTGATGGTTCTGTCATCTATGGACGAGATGAGGTAAAGAAAAGGATAATTAGCCATTTGCTATGTGGAAGCAGTGAAGAGTCTAGTGACCTCCACCTCCAGACCATCTCTATAGTAGGGATGGGAGGTATTGGCAAGACAGCTCTTGCACAAATCCTCTACAATGATGATCAAATTAAGGCACACTTTGACAAGAGGGTTTGGCCGTGTCTCTGATCTCTTTGATGAGGCCAGAGTTGCAAGAGCAATCATCATTGAACTTGAAGGTCAGGCTCATAGTTCGGTGTTTCTCTTAAACTCACTACCACTTCAGAGCCTCTTAAAAAGAATTTGTGATTCCTTAGGAGGAAAGAAATTCTTTCTGGTTTTAGATGATGTGTGGACAGAGGACGATGAAAGTTGGGATTCACTGAAACAAAGTTTTAAACATGGAGCTCCTGGAAGTAGGATTTTGGTGACCACTCGCAAGGACACAGTTGTAGAGATAATGGAATCCTCCCATGTTTTCCGTCTGGAAGAGCTGTCTCAAGAGGTGTGTTGGTCCATACTTAGCCAAATAGCATTAATCAATAGGGACAAGAAACAATGTTCAGATTTGAATGACATTGGGTGGAAGATTGCCAAGAAGTGTAAAGGACTGCCACTTGCTGCAAAGACCTTAGGGAGTTTGTTGCGATATAAGAGAACAAGAGAAGAGTGGAAAGATGTTCTAGACAATGAAATATGGGCATCAGAAATGATACAGAAAGATATCTTTGCACCTCTTTTGTTGAGTTATTATGATTTACCCTCAGTAATAAGACAATGCTTTTTGTATTCCGCTATCTTTCCAAAGGATTTTGAAATATGGAGGTATCTTGTAATCCAACATTGGATGGCTCAAGGTTATCTGAATTCTAGTGCCAATGCATTGATGGAATTAGTAGGCAGAGAGTATTTTGATTATTTGACAGCTCGCTGCTTCTTCCAAGATTTTGGAAAACTTGAAGATGGTAGCATATTTAAATGTAACAAAGAAGGTTGCCTCCGGTAAAAACTCAACCGTGCAATTACAGTCCGAAGCTCGCCATTTGACAGTAATGCTGGCGGAACGAACTTCTTTTCCTGCCTCAATTCATGGCACAGAAAAGCTGCGGAGTGTTATAACCTTTTGTGGACGGAAGCAATAAGTAATGCGGTATTGTGCAACTTATTTAAACAGTCAAAACGTCTGCGTTTGCTCGAATTTGGTTGGCCTGATGGGCTCAATCATTTCGAAAATGGAATTCCTGATAAAATAGGGCAATTGATGCATTTGAGGCACCTTAACCTCTCTTTCGCTCTGAAGATGAAAAAGTTGCCTGAAGCAATCTGTGAATTATGCAATCTGTGAATTATGCAATCTGCTATCTCTGGATCTAAAAGGTTGCCGTCGTCTTGAAGAACTACCGGCTGGGATTGGGAAATTGATCAACTTGAGGTTTTTCCGTGCCGCAGGTTGCTTTGATCTAACTTGGTACCCAAAATCAATGGGGGGATTAGCTTCTCTCAGGGAGTTGGTTGAGGTTAACATCAGGGTTGATCACAATGATCCTAAAGAATTTTGTATTGGTGATCTAGAAAAATTGCGCCACCTTCGTCGGCTTTGGGTGAAGTTCGTTGGATATACCATAGATGCAGATGAGGTTAGGAGAGCAAGACTTCATGAGAAGATCCATTTGCAAGAGATGAAGATTGATTTGGATCAAAACATGGACGAAGCTTGTGCAGTTGAAACCTTAAACCCACCTCCCAACCTAAATGTTCAGTTTTGGACTAGCTACACCGACTGGTATTACTAGCTAGTCCAAGAAGGGATGTGAATTTTATCAAGCAACAAGGAGACACTTACATTGATCATGATGAATAATTGGGATTGTCTTTCGTGGTCTGTAATTGATGCTTATTCTCTTTACTTTCTTCATGTTGGTTCACGTTTGGATCCTGTTTGTTTTCGTGTTGGTTTTATGTTCTATTTGCCTTTTTTTTCTTGTTGGTTCATATTTGGATTCCATCATGTGGGGTTGATTCTGTCCGGTAAAGTGTTAATAAAAAAATTTTAATTAATTGTTTTTTTTTATATCATGTATCTTTCACTAATAAATAAAGTTACTTTTTTTTTTTAAACAATTGGTCATGGATCCGTCCAAAGGAGAGGATGTATCTTTCATCATGACAGTGTCACTAAGTTTAAAGGTTAGGTGCAATAAATAAAATTACTTATATGTAAAGAGACATTAAAAAAAAAAAAAAAGTGCAAAGCCATAAAAGCTCTGTACGATCAATTAAGGGTCATGATGCATTATTATCTCAAATCCTGATACTATTGTGAACCACATAATAATTAGAAACTTCTTCACCAGGTGTTTGCTGGATGACTTGACAAAAAAAACTTGTTGCCTTCCTTATTGAAGTGATCGTATACTTGTTATTTGAATGCACTGATTTTTTTTCCCCAGAAGACAAACATTTGCATGCACTAATTTATGCTCAAAGGCAAATGTATTGTTCATGAATTGTGCAAATTAAAGACACTATTATTAACTCTTTGACTATGTTATATAGGTACTTAGAGCAAATTGGGTACAACATCAACCTCCAACAACCTGGTTTTCTAACAGTGTTGTTAATACCACAACGTTCATTCCAATCCAGATTGTTATGGGTCAGTATCTGTCACGCCCCAACTTAGGGGTTAGGACATGACAATGCCACATACCTTTAGGAGTGACCCTAAAAGCATGTAAGGCTAAGTCAGTCTCTAAAATTCATCCCTGTAGCTTTGCATAAAATTTATTCTTCACTT